CACACTATTAAGAGTACCAGAATACAGAGGTGAGTAGTTACATTCTTCCTTATGCTACAAAGAAAAATTTTAAAGGGCAAATCCTGCAAACTCTGATGCATATGAGTGACTTTAGTCATACAAGTAGTCTTACTGATTTCAGTAAGATTATTTGGGTGAATAAAATCACTCCTGTTTTCAGGATGGGATTTGACCTTCCATCTAATTATGACAACAACACAGTATAAAACTTATTAGCATTAGACGGGATGAGCAACGAATGTGGCTACTTCTTACCTCCTCATTGATATACCAGTATAGAGAAGTATCCTTCAGAACAAACCAATATTTCTTCCATTTCTGGGAGAAATAACTCTTGGCATCTTTCTTTTTCCAAAGCCAGCCCTCGCAGTCCCCACGGCCCAGATCTTTACAGGAAATCCGCCTTTTGCTCTTACCAGGAATAGGAGCTAAAAATGCCAATAGTTAAATTGAAATGAGTATATGTGAAAGGCTTCACATTATGCATTTAATCAATCAAACACAACATGCTAAATTTCTCTAAAAATCCATCCTTACAAACTTAACAAAAACATTTCAATAATAATTTCATTGTCATTAGTGTTATTTCTTTTTAATCAAGCAACAAAATGTGTGCATGGCAAAAGAAAAAAAGTAGATATATTCTCTTATCTTACAGATCTTGTAATCTAAACACAAGACAAAATGCAATAAATGAAGGCAACAAGATGGGTTTTATAGGAAAGGAGGACAAGATATACAAATACAGTCTTATGTGGGTACATATGTTTATGTACATCTTGATTGTTCATTTCATGGCAACATATGTAAACACACAAATAGCTACATATGAATGTACATACAAGTAGGGCTGCTTAAAATATATATTTTAAAAAGATTAAAATTGGGTTATATTGGACAATATTTTGAAAAGTACATCTTTACTAATATTCGAAAGACCCACAAAACCCTGCATAGTACAATTCAGTAACATGTTCAGACCTCTGTAAAAGAGAATGTTGAATATAGTTAAGATGTGCTGAATCAGAGAAGAGCTGTTAATCCTGGTTGGATAGTTTTGTCATATGGATAACTGAGGACTATAAATTTGGTTCAGGCTAACAAATTGCAACCTGTAAAATACTACAATATTTTAAACAGTAATATTCACATTTCTATTTTCTATCATCACTTCAAAAAGTACTCATTTAATGCTTACCTTTGTTTTTCTTTTTAGTTTTCTGTTGTAGAGAAGACTGCTGAAAGGTCTGTAAGCAAATGAAGACACAGAAAAGCAGTGAAAAACTAACAATGTACTTAGTGTGTTCCAAGCCCTTCCTAAATTCTTATAAAAATAGCAATAAAACTTTGAACACCAAAAGCATTACCAGGCAAAATTTAAAAAATGTCCTAGGCAGATTTCTAGCAACAGTGGAAAAATACAATTTTATTTCAGACTTTCATGAACTGTTGAAGGAAAACAATACAACACGTTAAAATCAACTCACCAATTAGAACTAAAGTTTCTCTCAGAAACAGGCATTCTTTTTTTCCCACTATGGTTTGTGTTAACAGGACATTTTTCACTCATTTAGAGTGGTAGTGCTCCTGTGGGGGAAGTTCTGTTTGGTGGTCCGTTGGATAGCTGATCTTAATTACTGATTTTAGTGTATGTTTTTTTTTTATTTCAATGCCTTATGAAACTATGACAAAATATTTTTCTGATGGTGCTAGAAATGTTTGGCTGGGACTTTACAGATTTGCTTGTAGATGCCTTCAGTATTTGAATTTTTGAGTGCTATATTATTTTTATTATGTATAAATAAACAAAGGGGAAGAAAAGAGAGAGAGAGAAATTGGAAAAAAAAACGGAAGGGGTTCAGAAACAAAACTCAGGGAGAAATCTGCTGAAATAAATGTGCCTTATTATTATCATGTCCCAAAAGATATGGAAGATCGAGACAGTTCCACAACTAAAGACCCTTGACTTACAAAGTTATGTCCTTTACCTGGTCCTGACTGAATCTAGTAACCAAGAGCCGACACACCCAAGCAATTTTAAGTATTGGCACAAAAATAAGGTCAGAATTGAATTATCTCTGTATTTAGGGCCTCGCTGATAAAAGGCTATACTACAGGGTCACGTCTGCTATAAGACTCAAATACCAATAAATGTCCATTATTCAGTGAGTGAAAAATATAATAATAAATAATAATAATTAATAATAATAATAAAAAACATGCACCGCTTTAGTGTTAGTTGCCTTGTATTTTAGCTTACTATATTGTTGGTAACAGCAATAAAATTCACAGAAGAGTGTCTGAGTGTAAATACCTCTTTCTTCAAGTTTTATTTAGCCAATATAAAAACCAAAAGTTTCAGGCATCTCCTAGTCCAACAAGTTACAAATAAATCAAAATTAAAATACTGATGGCCCCACAGGGTTGAAGCCTGCTCCTAATTAATAAGATAAACTTTCCCAAAGCAGGGTGGGGTGTGATGTTACAAAGCTCTCTTTATTTTAAGGTCCATTCCATACCCAACTTCTCTTTCCCACTTCTTGCATATAAGTCATGACTTAGCTCACATGTTCACATTATGGGAAAGGGACAACCCATTTCCATCTGCAAGGGGTTTCTCCCATTGAAGTTCTGACAAATTCTCAAACAGCAAATTAAATCCATATAACAACGTTGCCACAATAATTAACAGTAACATCATGAAACCAAGCAGCTGGCCTGGACTCTGATCCCTGAAAATGCACTGGGGAAGGCTAATCATCCCTATCTCCACCCCTGTCTGATCCTAGATAGCATCAGAGTATATGGGATTGGGTGGGGTGGTGTAGGGGAATGAAAGAGTGATTACATAACGGGAGTTCCATGTTGGAAAAAATCCATAGGGCCCTGCTTGAAATCATCCTGCCTTTGGTGGTAAGTGTGGGGACAACTACTCCTGATTGACTGTGTCTAATCCCTTTCCTTCCTCTAATGGTGCTAGTCCACTGGGCCCAGCTAGCAAAGCCAGCTAGCCCAATTCCAACTCTGAATCAAGTTCAATGGATCTATTTATACAGGCCTAAATATGTCTGTATTTCCCTAGAAGGAAAGGGTGAGATGTTCAGAAGTGTGTAAGTGACTTGTATTCCTAAGTCATTTAGGCATTTTTGCAAATCTTACTTTAATTCAGTGTAGACAGTTTAATATTTAAAAAAAAAACCTTGACAGCTGTCAGTGCAAAAAAACCCACTATTTTATTTCATTTTACTTTCCTGTATTAAGTGTTTTCCACGATTAATTCACCTAAACTGGAAAGGAGAAGTTTTGCTTATTTTCTCCTAAGTGGTACTTAATACCTTTAAAAAGGTGTTTTGTTTTTTAAACACAAGCTATAAAAGTGCTTCTGATCTGAACATATAATCTAAGTGTGCTCTGCAGGAATGAGTTTAGGTTTTTAATTTGTTTGACTGGTTCTATGCAGAACAAAACTAGCTCCAGTTTCACCTTGGAGATGACATTTTCCTAGAATGGTATGTATAAATGGACCTAATGACTCAACTGCATACTCACGGGATGTATGATTCCAAAAACGTGCATGAGGGTCAAGTTCCCAAAGTGTTGGTTTCTTTATTTACTCTATTGGTGGTGCATAGAATCATAGAATATCAGGGTTGGAAGGTGTCATAACTATAAAGGGAAGGGTAACAGCTCTCCTGTGTACAGTACTATAAAATCCCTCCTGGCCAGAGACTCCAAAATCCTTTTACCTGTAAAGGGTTAAGAAGCTCG